GAGTATGTGTGTGTGCTCGAGTGTTAGAGTGATGCGTGTGGGATATCCAGGGTGATCCAGTGTATGTGAACAGTGAGATGTTTGGGCGCTGAAGTCGCCATAGCCAATTGAGAGTGAACTCGTATCTGAAAGCCATATCTCTGAGTTTTGAGTAGGCGCATGTCGCCAGTATGCTGCGTTGCTGTTTACATGCATGAAAAGTGTGTTTGAGAACGAGTCTGATTGCACCTGCTAGGCGGTTGAACAACTCGTCGGAACGAGGCATGGGGTAGTTGTTCTTAACCGTGTAGCGGTTGAGACCGTGATAATCGATGCAGAGACGGAGAGTTTCATCCGCTTTGCGAGCAAAGAGGACGGGTGCACCCCACGGGGAGTTGCTGGGTTTAATGGAACCCAGTCTCAAGAGCTCCTCAAGCTGGCGCTTGAGTTCGGTGGCCTCGGGGATCGAGAGTCTGTAGGGTGTCTGGTGGTGAACACGATAGTTACGCACAAGTTGGATGGCGTGCTCAACGTCTCGCATCGGTGGGATGCCAGCGTACGAGAACGGCGATGGGAAAATGTCGTGGTACTCTCGAATGAGGTCACGAACTGCGGGCTCCAGGTCGGCCGTATAGCGTGCGAGTTCTTTAGCGTCAATGTCGGCAAGCGACGATGGGGTGGACTCGACGGACAGCGGAGGGAGGGAAGCAGAGATGGGAGGCATGGAGATGGAAGGAGGATCTGGCTCCAGAGAGATGAGCTCAGCGTCGGGACAGGGTGGATCATAGTGCAAGAGATCCGTACCATTCACCGTAAAGAAGGTGATGTCGTCCTGTCGGATGAAGTGAGCGAACTGCCGAGGCGAGGTGACAGTAATAGTAGGAGATGGTGTGGGCACGGAAGGCTCCGGGGGAGGAGGATCAGGGCGTGGTGTCGTACTGGCACCTAAAAAGGTACGCGATGCATCTGACCACACTTCGTTCTGAGAACGAGAGTGTTGGTCGCCCAATCGACTTCGATGCTTCAGAACCGACGAGACCACAGAGTACGAAGAATAAAATCGTACCCCGTCTCCATCACATCGAAATGTGTAGAGGAGCGGTGGAGATGAGACGCCGAGGGATGATCAGTCGGTTTGCGAGTGAGGAAGGAAGGGAGGTTGGTGACCGTCTGATCGAAGAAGCGTTGGGCCTTGTCATCTCCTAGGGTGACGTATATGGGAGTCGACGACCCTGTCGTGGGTAAGCGTGCTTCCTTCACCACACGTGGGTGAATGAAGTCGCTGTGAGAACCGGAATCCCACAGCGCTAAGTACACCCTCGTGGAGGTCGTGGAGGTCCCGAGTCGTACTGGAATGACCGGGAGGGTGCGATTAGGGTCAGAGAGGATGGCGAGAAGGCGATGCAGTGCAGCAACATGGAGGGTGAGTCGGTCCTGAGGAGCCTGGAGCATGCTCAAGTCCAGAAGGGAGGACACAACGTCCTCGCAAGTCGCAAGCTGCTAGCTGCAACGGCCTGAGCGAATGGCTCGACGTGTCGGTAATCGCGGAGAGGTAGGAGGCGAGACTGTGGTGTGCGGAGCGGCATACAGTACTGTGACAGAGGGCTGAGTCCACTCTGTCGGGTCCTACGAGACCTCAACTCCAGTAGCGAGAGGGGCAAACCGTGACGGAGATGTCGGGAATCCGACTATTGAGGAGGGTGCAGGTGTACAGTGCACCGTGGCGAGGAGGCATTGCGGGGATGCGAGGCGTCGTGGGGTGACTGAGCACAACGCTGCCGAGAAAGCTCAGCGTAGTGATGGTCAAGGGCGGCGGTGTAAGGGCACTGCGAGGAGGTATGACCGTCCTGGCGGCAGCGCAAACACCCATCCCTGCCCAAAATGGCTGCACGCTCCTCAGCGGAAAGGACATCGCGAGGAGGGACAAAGCCCTGAGGGAGGTCCTACTAAAGAACCTCAGGGGGCGACGTGCCAGCGTGACCAGAGCGGCTGCGTGCCCGAGAGAGGGTGGAAAGGGAGAGCTGGAGGCGCTCATCTATAGGGAGGGTAGAGTCCTCTAGGTGATAGTGGACAACCTCGCAGAGATCGAGGTCGTCGCTATGGTCACCCTCAGGCGCCAGCGGGGCAACAACGTCTTGCTCACTATACTCGAGCGTTGTGAAGCGGCGCGAGAAGTGGCGGCCCTGCTGCGCGGAACGGCGGGGACGACCGTGGAAAGGGAAACGGCGTTGGGAAGTGCTATGAGAGAAGGAAGGAGCGTAACCAATATGTTGAGGTTGAGAGGAGGAAGCGGGGTGAAGACGGGCCCGCATCCGTCGATGGGCCCTGGAAGCCTCGTAGGCCTGCGGAGCCGATGTGAAGTCATACCGCCATAACTCGGAGCGATAATTAAGGGGAAGGCTGGCCAAGAAGCGATCGATGAGGGCAGCCTCTCAGAGGAATGCAAAATCGCAAATGACGAGGGCGTCCTAAAAGACCTGGATGTGGCGGTCCAGGCCGGCAACGCCACCGGAGTCGAACCAGCGTGTACTGACGACACGCTCGAAGGCGTCGGTCACGTCCTGTCGGGCTCCGAAGCAATCCTCGAGGAATGCCTGGAAATTCACGAAGGTCGAGTTCCGACCCTCACGAAGGGAGTAAGTGTAGAAATCCTCCCAGGCGGCGGAAGGATCGCCACGCAAGCGCGTGGAGAGGTGAGCCACCAAAGGGTCACGTGGGACGACCATGAGCTGGAGCGTGCAGGTGGCAGACTGCAGCCACAGAGACACGCGTATGCTTGTACCGTCATGTGAAGCAATGTCCATAAAGCGGACGAGTGGTGCGCCACCATTATGGCGGCGAGGAGATCGAGGAGTAGAGGTCTGCACTACGACCAAGTAAGTCGGCGCAGGTCCTAGAATAAGGGGTGCAGCTGACTGTACGCCCGGGCCGCATGGTGGGCCGGCGGGGGAAACAACAGCAGGTTGTGCGGGAGCTGCGGTAGAAGAGGTTGAAGCAACCAATGGAGAAGGAAGGAGATAGGATGGAGGAGGAGGGGGTGCAGGGCGAGGGAAGCGAGCCTACATGGATGGAAGAGTAGAGGAAGAAGGAGGTGCGACCGAGGGCGCGACCACTTGTGAGGGTAGGGGTGGTTGAAGGCGTAAGAGGGCGAAGTCGGCCTGGGTCTCGGCAAGCTCGGCCTCAAGACGTCGGACGTAGATCGAGCGAGGAGTGGTAGGAGTAGACGTACGAGCGGCGCGGGGCATCCCACAAGGGGGAGAACCTGGTGGCGTTGCGGTCGTGTGAAGGGGAGGGAGAAGCGGGGTACCCCGAAAAGCTACAACCGCGGCAGAGGGTTGTGGTCCCGTGGGCGTAGTGACCGGAGTCTGGGCGGGTGCGGCCATAGAGTGAGGAAAGGCCTGGCCCGTGGCGGCTGTCGCGCTAGGAGCATGAACGGTCACCAGGATGGTCGGGCCGGGGCCAGCGAAGGAGGAAGCTCCGCCGCGGCCACCACGTTGAAGGACTAGGGACCTGGACTGGGAGCCAGGAGAAGAGAGAGGGTTAGGAGAGGAAGGATTGGCAGCGTCCTGGAGTTGCTGCATGCCAGTGGCAAGAGTTGCCACCTGCGCCTGTAAGGGCACAAGGGTCGCAAGTTGCGCCTTGATGGGTGTGAGGAAGGAGGTGAGGAGGGTGTGCAGATCCTCCAGGGGCTGATGGCCGTGGTCCGACGACACGGGTGTGGAGCCCGGTGACGAGGTCGTCGCCTCGTCGGCGGTTTATGACACGTCGTCGGCTATGGGGAGGTGACGGGCTGGACTGGAGGGGGCCAGAGGAGGTCCGCATGAGCGGAGGGCGTAGGGGGGGGTTTGCAGTAGAAAGCGACGGGCGGCGCTCGCCAATCGAGCACGGGCGCCGGCAAAGGGGGAGGGGTGGTTCGGGTCTAGGGTGCCCGAATGGGAAGGGGAAGTAGGGAGAAGGGGTGATGGTAAAGGGTTTCAGCAACACTTCGCCTCCGTCGTGGAGCAAAAATGTGCCGCAGAAAAATAAGAACCAAATAAGAACCAAGAAAACTAAGTAAAAGAGTGGAAAATCTACGGACGGATCAAAAATTTTCGGCAGCACTTCACCTCCGTAGATGTTGCATACTGTAACGGTGCAGACCAGAACAAGAACCGACCTCTCAATACAACGTACAGGATAGCGTAGCAGAAGACTTAGATACCAATGATCCGAACAATCAATGTTGCAATGCAGCCCCGAACATACATCATCATCATCATTCCATGGTGTGAAGGGGTCTGGCGCCCACACAGGAAGAATGCGCCAGCCCCAACCATACAAAGACGAAGAAGAGGGGGGTTAGACGAAGAAGAGGGGAAGATGGGAAATGTCGTCAACACCAAGTCTTCGGCACAAGCCCAAATAGTCCCTCGTCAAAATGTCTGAATCCCAATGGTCATCAGGAGGTTGACCGCATCATCACGGATCGCAAGTACTGCAACAAGCCTCGACAATACAAAGTTAGATTCAGAGCATGCGATCCCGACAAAACTCGGTGGATTTCAGGAACAGATTTGAAAGCATCTGCACCGCTGATCTACACTCAGTACGAGCGACAAAGGTTAGCTCAGGGACCTTCACGACCTGCCCCTCCCACCCGGACTGTGGTCCCTCCCTCGGACAGACAGCTTCGCCCTCGCAGGTAAGCTTGGTCTTTCAAGGAGGGGGGGCTGTGGCATACTGCGTAGCCACACGGGCCTGCAGGGCCCGTCCCGCATTTCCAGCCTAAAAGCCTAGAAATAAGGGCTTACAGGCCCCTGTCATTTCAGCCTGAAAGACTGAAAAGCGAGGGCCTGCAGGCCTTATGTCGTTTCAGCCTAAAACAGGGCTTTTCAGCCCAGAGGCTTTTCAACCTGAAACGGAGGGCCACTTTCGGGCCCTCATAAGATCGACCTACCCTAAGACTCAGGCACAAAAACAGGGTTTCGGGAACAGGCTATTTCTGGCCTGTTCCCCAGACAGCCTCAAGCAGGAGCTGCAGCGGCAGCCCCTGACTCCCTTTGGCATTGGCAAGAGCAGCCTCCTGGACCGCCTCACCCTGCAGTCAGGAGGCACCCGAGTAGTACATAGGAAGTTCCCATGCACTTCACAGGGAGGTAGTTGGACAGTAGGCACGAGTAGTCTTCAAGATTCGGCCGCAGCACTCAGGAGGAGCGCTGCCAGGAGTAGCTTAGAGCTAGCAGTAGTCTTCAGCGCTGGGCGCTAGTAGCCATAGCAGTAGTCTTCAGCGCTGGGCGCTAGTAGCCATAGCAGTAGTCTTCAGCGCTGGGTGCTAGTAGGTGGTAGTAGTAGTGTGGGAGAGAGATGGCTGGCGGAGGCCAGCGAGACTTACCTGTGGCGCCATAGCTCCAGCTCCATCTTCGAGGTATCTGCATCAAGGCGCCAACTTCACAGGTTAGTACCGGACAGAGAGAGAGAGAGAGAGAGTTCTTCTTCCTCTTCTAAGTCCACCATCTCTCCTTCCCCTCTCACCACCTGACTTCTCAGTATCAGCGGACTACTACAGAGAGAGAGAGAGTTGTGATTTGAGACTTGACGACATTGCGATCGTCGGCCTGGGAAGTCGTCACTCTTAGCTGGTGTATATGTTGCCAGCTTCGAGGCGTGCAAGATTGGATGGACTGTCAGATGCACCGGGATGTTGATCACAAATGAAGGGCCATCGGGCTCAACGCCCGCGGCTGATGTTATGGGCCATGGTCCAAACCAATTGGGAAGCAGTTTGCGTGAAACATCCTGTTCCAGTGCAAACTCTTCCGCGGAGACCCAAACCAGATCACCGGCGCGGATGGGACATGGTACGCGACGCCTGTTGGCTTGCTGCTGCATGCGGACTTGAGCCTTTTGCATGTTCGCGCGGACTTGAGCCAGCAATTCCCTGTACTTCCGGACGGAAGCGGGAGAGCAAGCGGCGTCGATGTCGGCTGGTCATGGGAGGAGAAGGTTGGCGAAGATATGCCCTTTCCGTCCACCGTGGTACTACTCGAATGGAGTCACGCCGATCGCCGGGTGCACCAAAGTGTTGTAGGCGAACTCGATGTTGGGGAGGCGGTCAACCCAATCTTTTTGGTCTGGACGGATGAGCGTACAAAGCATCATTTGAGCGGTTTGATGTGCCCGCTCCGTTTGCCCGTCCGTCTGTGAATGCCGAGCCGAACTTGGTTTCATCTTCGTGCCGGACTCCTGCATGAGAGCAGTCCAAAATGTCGACATGAAGCGAGTGTCGAGGTCGCTGACTATGTCTTCCAGTACACCGTGGCCACAAATCCAACCGGTGTGCAAGAGGCATGCCAGCTCGGGAGCCGTGGAGTAGTACTTGCAAGGGAGAAAACGCGCATACTTACTCAAACGGTCCACAACCATGAGGATGTCGTCGTGCCCGAGGCGATCGCGAGGAAATGGTCCGGTGACATCCATAGCAATGGAGAGGCCGGGTTCCCGTGGGATAGGCATCGGGCGCAACTCGCCGTAGGGGTTGCGATTGCGGGGCTTACTTCGTTGGCAAACTTCACAAGAGTCGCAATACCGAGTGGCATCGGTAATGAGGTCGGGCCATCGGAATCGTTATCGAAGCCGTGCAATGGTGCGGTTGACTCCGAAATGGCCGGCAAGTCGCGAGTCATGATACTCACCGAGAAGACGAGTTCGAAGACGACGGTCTCGTGGGACACACAATAGGTCCTTGCCTCTCGGGTGGAGGAGCAAGTACCCGTCGGCAATGCGATAGTGGCTGGCCAGCGGGTGATCCGAAGATAGCTGCGCATACAACGTGGCGAAGTCCGGATCCGACTCATATCCCCGGATGAAGTGTCGCTGAAGTTCCTCGTTGAATGCGAAGGCATGATGTGTCATAGCGCAAAGATCAGGTCTTCGCGAGAGTGCATCTGCTGCGCGATTGGAGAGGCCGGGAAGATGTTTCGGTAACCCGTGCTGCTCACTGTATCCTGCGTCATTGCTGGTCGATGAAGTACATCCATCGTCCGATCGTGCTGCTCACTGTATCCTACGTCTTGTAGTAAGTCAGTGGGTTGTTGTTCGTAACCTATGTGAACCTACGACACCCAAGGAGGAAGTGCCGCCATCGCTTGAGAGCCATCACGAACGCGAGCAGCTCCTTCTTCCTTGCATCATCAAGCGAGTTGATGGGAGGCACTTTGTGGCTGAAATACCACAAGGTGCCAGTCGTCGCCATCATGTTGTTCCAAGACTGCCCCAATGCCATAGCCGGAAGCGTCAGTTGTCACTCTCGTAGGCAAGGTGGGGTCATAGATGCTAAGGACGGGTGCCATGAGCATGGCCGTCTTAAGTGCTTGGAATGACCGGCGTGCGTCGTCATCGAATACGAATGGCACCTTTGGCGATTGTAATCTCGTCATAGGTGCAGCACTCCTTGAGTATCCAGTGATGAATCGCTCATAGTGGCCCGCCAACCCCATGAATGAACGAACGTTCGTGGTGTTGGTGGGCTCGGGCCATACGTGGAGGGCCTTGATCTTGTCCGCAAGCGAACGGATGCCATGCGGCGTCACATAATGTCCCAAGTACTCCAGCTTCTGCCACGTGAATTCGCATTTGTCGCGGTTGGCTTTGTACTTGGCTTGTCGTAGCCGCTCCAAAACGGTGCGCAGGTGTTCCACATTGTCGTCCAAACTCCGGTTGTACACCAGGATGTCGTCGAGGTAGATAAGAACGAATCGATCCAGCATGTGTCGGAACTCCGTTGTCATAGCCGCTTGGAAAGTGGCCGGGGCATTCGTAAGGGCAAATGGCATAACCAGCCATTCGAAATGCCCATATCGCGTCTTAAACGCGGTCTTGTAGTGGTCCTCCTTCCGAATCTAGAGTTGGTGATATCCCAACTTGAGGTCCAGCTTGGAGAAGAACTTGGCGCCGCCCAATCGTTCAAGAAGGTCGTCGATGCGTGGGAGAGGGCCGACGTTTATGATCGTTTGTGCGTTGAGCTTGCGATAATCGATCCACAACCGCAAATCCTTGTTCTTCTTCCGGACGAAGAGAACAGGAGCACCGTTTGGCAATGAGGTAGGCCGTATCCAGCCTTTCTCTAGAAGGTCGTCGAGTTGTGCCCGTAGTACACTTAACTCTTCCTCGCTCATTCGGTAGATGCAACTGCGCGGAGGTACGGCCCCGTCCTCGAGGATGATCTCGTGGCGGATGGGCCGATCCGGTACTACTCCGTGCGGGACTTCGAGCACGTCGCTGTAGGCGTCGAGAAGCTCGGTGATGCGTGGATCCGAAGATGAGTCCGTCGATGAAGCGTCATGGGGCGGAAGGGCATGGAGAAAACACATCTCCATCTCCTCGATGTCGTCTCTGATGATGGAAGCTCGCATGCTTGCGGCGGACACCACGTGGTAGCTGATCGAAGGGTGAGGAGGAGCTACCGTGCATGGGACTAGTACTCCGTTCCGATCACGAACGTCAACGGTGCGGCGGTAGAAGTTCACCGGGTGATCCTCGCTTCGCAGCCATGACATGCTCAAGATCATGTCGAATTTGGTGTCCAAGATATCGAAGGACACCGCCTCGCTTGCATGCGGGGCAAAGTACACGGGGACGTCATCAATGCACTGGTCAATTGACTTGTGCGTGTGACCGTCTGCCAACGTGACTTGCGTCGGCTGGGACTTCCTCCAAACGTGTGGGCCAAGGCCGGCACGCACCATTAAGTCCTGGCTCATGGAGTTGCGAGATGCTCCGCAATCGATCAAAGCACTGCAGGTCGCCTCTCCGATCTGAATGCGTACATATAACAATGGTGCGTCGATGTCGTCGTACCGTTGCATCTTGAACTCGCGGTCGATCTTCGCAATGTAGGCGTGAAGGTCGACAACCTCTACTCCGGCGTCCATCAACGGAGTTGGTACTGCAGTGTGCAAGTAATCCCGCAATTGTGCCATGAGCACGTTGCAACGCGGTTTCGGCAATCGACCGGACCGGGGAAGGGGCATCCATTGGAAGTCCGCAAATGTCAATGGGTCGAGCTCTTCAAGTCTTGACCATGACGTTGACTCCCCGGCGGTAGATGGCGGCAAAGCTGCCGAATCGGTTGCCGATGGTGATGAAACCGTGCATGCGGTGGATTGTTGCACGTGGAGCGGTTGGTCCAACGGTGGGACCAAGTGGACAGCATAGTCCCGTAAGCATACCGAGAACTTACGACATTCGCATACTCCCCAGATGTGTAGGAGGCCGCTAGCAAGGCGGCCGAATCTGGCGGAGTGGGAGGTGGAGTCGCCTCACCTCCCGGGGAACTCAGTTTCCCGAGTTGATACGAGGCCGAACATCCTCCTTGCCCTGATCCTGGCAGAGGGAGGTCTTGTGCTTGGTGCAATTGCACCAATAGCAGCAGCCGTAGCGGCCGCGGTACTTGTACTCGGCCTCGGTCAAGTGAAACTTGACCCATGGTGCTGGTTGTCCGTTTCCGGCAGTTTTCGCCTTCCTGTTTCCTCGGGACTTGTTGTTGCTTCGCGGCTGGACAGCAGCCACCTGATCTCCCTCACGTGATGCTTCGGTGGCTGCCAGGTCTTCCACAATGTTGTCCGATTAGACTGCAGCGAATTGCTGCGGTCGCGGACCAGTTTTCACCTTCTCCACATAGGTTGGCTGCCACGTTGACTTCTCGTGTGCAGCCGCCCTGTTGGTCTTGATGATCTCCCTCACCTTGTCAATGATTTCAGCGAAGGTTGCATATTGCTCGCGATCACCAAGTGCAAGGCTCAATACAGCACATGACCTGTTGTAGAACTCGCGGCGCAAATGCAAAAATGGCAAGTCGAGACTGGCCGTTGCCGCGATCTTCTGCCATTCCGTGAGTCAGTCACGTGTTGTTGTGTTGCCTTGTGTCATGCCGAAGAGACGGTTGATGGCGAGTGCAGGAGCGTCGTCCACGATGAACCACTTCTTCCATAGCCGTGTTAACTCTTCCCATGAGACCTTGTCTTTTAGATCTGCGACATCGACGCCGTGGGTGGATGCCAGGTGGCTTAACCATTTCTGGCATCCGCCCTTTGAGTTGAGAAATAGGGCGCCGATGTACGCGTGCTTGGCGACGAACAGAATCCGCAGTTGCGTCGTAAAGCCTTCCCACTAGAGGACCGGGTCTTGATGCGTGTAGTCATCGAACTTCTCAATTTGGAATGTCGGCATCTTATAATACGTTGTGTTGTTGCCATCCTTGTTAGGCAGCTGCAGTTGCTGAACCTCGGTCTTCAATGTATCCAGCTGTTTGCTGATGGTGGTTGGCGCATCGAAGGTGTTGATGTCGCCGAGCATTGCGACGACGTGGTCGACGCGTTGCTCCAGTTGGCGGGCAGAGGGTGCATTGCTGGACTCGCCAGCCTCCGGTCTTGGTGCAACTTGCTCCAAGTCCTGCATACGAGAATCAAGTGCCCGTGCTGCATCCTCATGCTGAGCCTTGTGGTTCCGCATGGCCCGCTGCATATTCGCCAGCTAGGACTGCAGGTGGTTACAAGTGTAAACCAACCGAGTCACGAGTTTGGCCATGAATTCCCTGTGCTGCTCTTCCGGTGTCGCGTCGCCATGCCCTTCAGATGGTTCAAAGTGCCAAAACTTGAGCCGTTCGATGCTAGTGGCTTCATGCCGCCGTAGCAGATGCAGGGCTTCCTTGTGGCGTGCCTCGGTATCTGCGTCTGCTTCGGCCTGAAGCCGCTGCTTCTCGGTTGTTGCTGCTGCTTCAGCCTGTAGGCGGGCAGCCTTGGCTGCCAGCTGGCGCTGTTCCTCAGCCTCGATCAGGGCGAGCTGAGTCTGGAACCGCTGGTTGTAGTCGGCAAGAGACTCGTTGGCCAGTTGGCCTGGCATGCCCAGAGCTGCCCCCGTCATGGTGGCGGGGCACTGCTGACGTGGCACTGTGGCATTGTTGACGTGGCACTGTTGCTTACGTGGCACTGCTGACGTGGCACTGCTGACGTGGCACTGTGACTGGACGTGGCACTGCTGACGTGGCACTGCTGACCTGGCACTGCTAACGTGGC